TGGTACTTCCTGTACAAGTCATATTTCCACACATTTTTCCTGGTCCCATGTCAGCTGTAGTTATTCTTTTAGTTATTAGGAAGAAAAGACTAATAAATTATATCCTAGTAGAGAAACAGGGCTCAAATCCAAGCCTAATTTAGAATTCATGATTTTGACTGGAAGTGTTCTGTAGCCATGCAATAACTATTTGTGTAATAAATTTAAAAAATGTCCTAGAAATGACTGACTCAATGGCAGCAGTAAGTACAGAAAGGGAGCAGGGAGTAAGGATGGCATGATGATTTGGTATTACTCAAGTTGTTGAAATTGTGAGGGGTTTGGAGCACAATATATGGGGAGACTGGAAGAGCTGGGTCACTTCTAAGCAAAGACTTTGGGGAGGATCCCATTGCTGTTTGCAATTACTCAAAAGTATTTATAGAGAAGATAAGACTCCTGGAGGGGTGTAGCAAAAAGTCAGAGGAGGTCAGATATAAGCTAGAACAAGAGAAATTGCACTTGAATGTGAGGGGAGAGGGGCAGATGACAAAGTGCTGGGAGCCAACCACTGGAGCTAAGAAAAAAGTTTGGGTTCAGACATGTTCAGAACTCTGCTGGATATACAGTAATGTAATCTTGCCTTGGCTTAAACTTGAGGCAGTGGGGCAGTGCTGGGGTCCACGTGGGGCTGCACTCCCACTGCTGCTCCTTGCACTGCCCAACCACAGCCATTGGCAGTGCCAGCCCCACTTCTCTGCTGTGTGTCCAAGGGAAACTGAAAGTGTTCATCTTCCTGCAGGGCTTGTCTGAGGGGCAGGAAATTTGTATGGATCCTGTGAGAAGTGAGTTGATATTTTGGAATTAGGTAAACCAGCTTAGAAGAGGCCAGCCACCTTCAGAAGAGATGGTGTGGCTTTTAGAACTACTTTGTTAGAAAAAATTAATGACTGTAATGCTCCTTATATCAAAATTTTCATTTTCTGGTGTGTGCCATGCTTTATTTTTATGTGTGTATCACTTTAATTTAGATTCTAATTACAGTATACATACAGCATTAGAAATCTGAAGCTACCAAGTGTTTCAGATTTTCTCAGTTCTCTGAGTACATTCCACCCCACTGAAGCTGCACAGAAGCTTTCCTGTCATTTTCAACTCTAATACAAACAAAAGTAATTTCTCTGCTTCAACAGATTTAAAAAATAATTATACTGCACTTGAATAAAGTAATCTATTTCTTTTAACTAGTGTGTCAAAAGATGTTCTGATCTTTTGTGTTATCCACATCCACCCAAATGTCTGACATGTGTCCAAAAGAATCTTAAAGAACAAAATTGCTTTTTAGAGACTGAATTCCTTTTTCAAAGATAGAGTACTCATTTAGGGAAAGACATACCACACTTAACCTAATCTTTTGAACTGCCATCCTTATCTTAATATTGCTTAAGTCATGATTGTAATGTAGGATGCTTATGATTGAAGCATATATGTATGAGTTTCTGGAGGATTTGATATCTTCTCCTTGAATGATTCAAATTATTTGCCTTTATACTGGGACCATGAAAACAATGTTGAATTTAACAGTAAATTAGTGAAGTATAGACACACTAATCTTTTTGGGAGAGTTTTTGTCTGAAAATTGAGATATGAATGATATATCAGGTAACAGCTCCTTTGTAATTTTTGTACTCTCACAGTGCACTAAGGCTGCATTTTCATAACTGATTCAACTAGGGCTTTATATTTCTTAATTTGTGAAGATTTGTAAAAGCCGTAAAAACTTTTTTACACCAAATGCTTGCAAATAGTTAGCATGTCATAAAGCTTTCACAGCTTTCCCCCTTTCCCAGAATCATCTAAAAAAACCACTCCTGCTGGTACCAGGTTGTAGGGGGATAAAATAAAAGAAAACAAAGATAGCGTAGAAAGTAATCTTACCCTTAAGAAGTTGCAGCTGGGCCAATTATCAAAGATTAGGAACAGGCCTGACTTTACCAGGCCACAGCTGTAAGCATGAGAAGGTGCTATAAAAGAGTGGGGTGGCTGGGTGAGAGGGGGGTTGGAGTCAGTGGCTGCTTTGTGAAGGAGAAAGAGTCAGTGCTGTGAGGAGATGCCCATGGGAAACATCAAGAAGGTATGGAACTTGTGTGCTGTGGAGACAGCAGTATGGAACCCTTGCAATAAGATGGTAATAAAATGTGGAGTTGTTCTGAACTCTGCAGAGGCTACATAGGACAGGAAGGGCTAGAGGTTCTAGAGTTTGCATTTAGGAGCGTGAATTGAGCCTGTGTCAGTAGTGGAACCTAAAAAATATTACCTTTGAAATTTCTTTTATGGGCTCAGAAGCACTGTTTCTAGGGCAGAAACATTTTTGACTTTGAATTTCAGTGAAGAGTTTGTGCTGTCAATTCCTGTGCTCTGGTGTCTTGATTTCTGCAGTGATAACAAACACTAGCTGCTCTCACAAACTGAAAGGACACTTCATTTCCTCACTGCATACACCTTCCCTGTTGTATAATCATGCAATTTAATGGATAGAACCACTGGTTGCTTAATGCCATTGTATATGAAATTAAGGTGATTGTGAAGTGGTAAATGTGTCACTGTTTCTGTTCCATGCAGTGTAATGTAGCACTGGGACATGCAAAGGCTCCACAACAGAAGCAATGTCAACAACTATAATAGCCCCATCTATCTTAATCCTAAATTTCATCTTTTTGTATCCAGGAGAAAGGCACTCACAAGAGACCAGTGACTGTGTTTCTTTTGTTTAATCAGTAGCGATGGCTTGAATCAGGAAAGAGAATTAATAGAAATCCAATGTGAAAGCCTAACAGGTGGTTGGGGTTGAGAGCCTGTGAGTCCTGGCACGCATCCAAGTGACTTGCACAAAGGTGTGAAAAGGGGAAAATTAGTGATAGAAGATGGACTTTAGGAATCCCCAGTTACTGACTGAAAAAAATATAGCTGACATCTGTTAGTCGTTTCTCTATAGAAAAGATAAGAATTGCTCTGCTGTTATTATGTGGAAGAAAGTGAGCACTTGCCATTAAGCAGAAGCTTTCACGTGTGGCTTGTCACAAGCTGACAGCAGCCACGTGTCCTGATCGAGTTAGTGCAGTCACTCGGGTAAGAAAGGGCTGTGGCATGAGAAGAATTGGCTGCTGCTGCAGGAGGAAGTGTGGACACAAAGGTCTGATTCCTGCCTTACCTGAGGGAGCAGAGAACAGCCCCAGCATCAGGAGGGCAGCATTTGAACCCTGCCAGAATGCTCCATTAATGCATGTGACTGCTTCATTAAACATATTGGCATGACAAAACAAATGTGCCATCCCACAATGAGAGCTGCTACCTGCTGATGGACACAGAGACAAAAGGGCAATTTCTGATGGGTGTAAAATAGCCTCATGCCTCAGCCTCCTCCTAGAGCAACTACTGGTCAAAATATGGGAAAATTCTGGTAGATCAGTCATATTCATAGTCAAATTCTGGTGCCATTAGTTATGTGCTCAAACCCACCAATGTCACAGACATGTTTTCTGAAAAATCCTATCCTCAGGATTTTTTCTCCTGAGAAGCTGAGAGACTCAGGAACAAAATGTAAACAATGGTTATCTGCTGCTGTGGAATGCAACAGGTGCATCTGTGATTGGTCTCATGTGGTTGTTTCTAATTAATGGCCAATCACAGTCAGCTGGCTCGGACTCTCAGACACAAGTTTTTGTTATCATGGGTTTTCTTGCTTGTGAGCCTTCTGATGAAATCCTTTCTTCTCTTCTTTCAGTATAGTTTTAATATAGTATATATCATAAAATAATAAACCAGCTTTCTGAAATGTGTAGTCAAGATTGTAATCTCTTCCCTCTTCCTGGGCCCCCTGTGAACACCACCAGACACCAGCACACCTTGCCAATCACTTGATTGCTCCACAGGATTTCCTAATTGCAGTAATGCAGCCTATGCCAGGTTTTGGGGTATCCCCAACAGGCTGCAGTGTGTCTGGATAGCTTAGTCCTGCTCGGCACAGCCTGTCCCAGTTCCCAAGCAGCTCCCAGCATTGGGCCACCATAGCAACCTTGGCTGATGTCAGCTCCAGTGGTTATCAGCTCATTTTGTGATTTTAGCTCTTTGCTTGCTAGGTGCAGACACAAGGAGAGAGAGGAGAAGGCTGGGTGAGGTTCCACAGGGATATCTTTACTGAATCTTCCGCGAAGGTCTCAGGGACAGCTCTTCTGCCGAGATGGGCAAAAGTAGGGTTTTTATAGGATATAGGGGTTTTAGGAGTTGTCCATTAGTAAAGGTTAAAAGGAAAGTGCCCTGTAGTCTTACAGAGAGATTAGCAGGGGTCTGAGGGTGGGAAAAGGGGCTTAGGTCCAGTCATCATGACTCGGCATTCCCTATCTTGGGTTGCTGACCACCATGGAGGCCTGGTAGGCCTCAGGCCTGCTACATTGCAGGTTGACAGAAAAAGTGTTTAACCTCCCCCATTTATTGCACAGTCACTCAAACTGCTAGAACTAGGCTCACAAATTCTAACCTTCATTAACATGGAATAAAGTGTTTTAAGCTAACCATTTGGGTTCAGAAAATTATTATAAATTCTTGTCGTGCTTACTTAGGCCTAGTGATTTCCACTTCCCCGCTTAGTTCTACTTACCTAAAATCTCTGACATGAAGAATATGTTTTTATATCTTCTTATGTCTTTCTAATAGTATCACAAAATCCTCTCTGTCCACAGTTGGAATCCTAGAGACACTGTAGTAGAAATAGTAAATAAGCAGGTATAATAGCTGCTCTGCACTTGTAAAAATGTCTGTCTTAACATGAGCTTGGTGAGAAAGCCTTTTCCAGAATAAGACTGTTATTAAAAAGAATATTATGTTTTATTGTTATAACTAAGAATACTTGTTCCTGAATCAATCCATATTAATGCTGCATAAACAATCTAAAACATTTCTGTTTTGACAGGGAATTTTCAAGCTGCCTTTTCCTGACATAATTTTCAATTTATGTTCTTTCAGGAGAAAACTTAGCTGGGTCTCATCAGAGTACATCAAAAACAACACTCCTTCTGGTAAGAATATCTGATTATTTAAGTTGTATTATAAAATGTAGCTCTCTGGAATCTGACACATTCAGCTGTTTTTCATTTTCAGTAACTGCATTTAACAATTCCATCTTCCTTTTAGCAGCACTTTAATTCTTTTTAATTCTTTGTTACTGTCTCCTCTGCTTTCTGAATTTATTCTGCAACTTCATGAACAGTGCTGCAAATCTTCCTGCAGTCAGTATTTCAGACAGTCAGAGTCAGCATGTGGTGTGTTAAATCCAGGCATTCTAAGATCTACTTTTATTTATCCTCTTGTGCTTCTGCTCATTTTGTGAAGCTTTTGGCATCATTAGTGATGCCAAAATTGAGCATGTTGCCCTAGAAAGACAAATATAATAATATTTTTGTTCTGTGAAAAAGGAGAATGTTCAGGAGACACCTAACTGACTCAACTATGTCTTGCCATTTAAAGAACACACCACAGGGATTTGTCATCAATGTCCCATCCGTTCTCTTTGGAGGACCATGCTATGTTTTTAGATCACTGTTTCTTTGCATCCAACTTGACTATTTTTTACTGGTTCTTTTTAAATGAAAATTATGCTCTTTTTTATGCTGTATTTGGGAAGGTTTTGAGAGCATTGCTTATGTAGCTCTGTCTTATTTTGCCTTCTGTGATTTTGGATAATAACCTTCATATCATGGTATATAATACTTAGTCCTGATGCTGCAGCATTTTTTTTCCTGCCAATGAACTGAGGAGGGGAGGAAGCTGCTGCTTCAAATAGTTTAAAACAGTATAAAGGAAAATATTGTACGTCATCTCTTTGGACTATTCTATGTTTATAAATGGAGTACTGAACTTGTGGCAGTCCCAGGGGATCTGGAGGTCCAGACATAAGAATTTCATATGTGCAACTCTACAGGAAGGAAGAATTTCTCAAATCTATACCTTTAGAGAGTTGTTCTTACAAAGGTGAACTATCCCTTCCTAAACGCATGCCTTCATATTTCAGTGTAAATTATTTGTGCATAGTGTGTGAACTCATTTCAGGTTTAAAGGAACCCCAAACAAAAAACAAAACCAAATGAATACAAGATTCTGAAAACTGTCAGCCCTTCAAACTGACTCTGAACTATAGAAAAGTTTAGAATTTGACAGTGATTCTGTTACAGTGCAGATATTTGTAAGAGATAGCATGTTACTGCTGAAATGAAAGTGCTGCAAGAGAAATATATCAAGAGGATTAACAGACAAAATGCTTGATGTCAAAATGCAGGGGTTTTTTAGTTTGTTGGATCCATGGAAACCCTTTTCCTCTGTTAAGAAGTGGAAAAATTGAATGCTGACCCTAAAGAGACTCAGTCACTTCAGCTGTGTAAGTGGGAGAGTCCAGCTTTCTCATTTTTTGTTTGCTGGTGATAACAAAAGTTCTATTCCTATTTAATTTGGCAGTCTATGAGAGAGGATTTTCTTTTCATTTTTTTACATTTTCAGTGAATATGTGTGATGACTTGAGTTGCTGAATGCTATTTTTATGCCCAGTTCCTATTAAATCAGACAATTTATTCAGAAAAACCAATTCCACCGTGTCATAACTGGTACTGCAATCTGTCCTGTTGTCTGTGGGCATGACCTCCTGAAGTCCTTCCAATCTCAATTATTCCCTGATTCTCTGATTCATATCAAAGTCCAGTTCTGTGAGCCTAATTTTCAGTGATTGGTTTGCCATCAACCCTTCTTCTCTGAGCTGTGCTGTCTGCAGTCCTTTTTTTGACTTCTATTGTATACCAAATATGACCATCTTTTCTCATAGCAGAAGTGCTTTTAAAAGTATTCATATTTTTATTTTATTTTAAATAATCTGCAGAGGAACTAATTAATCTAGAATTAATGAATGTAGTTCAGCATTCAGATTGATTGATTGAACTTAAACTGACTTTTTTTTCTGTTTCAAAATATCTCTCATGATTTATTTCAACAAAACTTTGTCACCTTTCTTCTTGTGTAAAGTCAGTAGTCCAGGAAAACTTGTGTTTTCTCCTGCCTTGAGTAACAGATTTGCGTTCACATTTATAAATTTAATCCAGAAATAGTTTTTTATCCTTGTTGTTAGTCACACTATGATTCATCTCATGATCTCCTCTTACAAACAATTAATTGATTAAGATGCAAGATATAAAAGTACTTAAATATGTAAGAATTTATTGTTTAAATATATACAATGGTCACCTGTCACTGCACTAATGTGCAGTCACCTCTGGAATAAGAAGTTGACACTTCACCTGTGTGCTTTGGGAGGGTCAGTACATGCAGGTGAAGTTTCATTCAGAATTCAGGGAATGTAATTATTTTAATAATTAATTTTATTTTGATTGCCATTTGGCCAGTATGCTTAGTCAAATAATACTTCTAAAAAAAAAACCAAAACAAGTGGGGGAAGTTTTGTCATTCCCAAGCGTTGTGATTTTCTGCCTTGGAATAAAAGTATCACTAAGCAAAACAAAATTCAAAACAACAAACCCACTCCTTGAAACAATTCAAAGCAAACTGTGAAACTTGGAGGCTGGACTATGTTGAAATGACAAAGTGTCCCCTGCTAAGTGATGGATACATCTCTGCATTACTGAGGTATTGATTTGAGATCTTTCCAATATTGTCTGGAATTTGGTCACAGTATTTGACAGAACTTTTGCTCAAGACACGATAAACTTGGATGCCTTGGATATTTCAGATATGTTAAGTTGATATCAGCAGGTGACACTTTATACCACTGTGATTTTAATCCCTCACAAATCGTTTGGCATCAGCAGGAAAGAAAAGTAAGTGGAATTATTAATAGGATATTGAATGAGCAAACACCTGTTTGTCCAGATGTTTGTTTAAATAGATATGTTTACCCTGTCACTGTATAAAACAATTAATGATTGTGTTTACAGTCTTAAAATGAGTATTTCCCAAATTTGAAATATATCAACTTTTAAGATTCCAAGGGCAGAATTAAGAAAATAATATAATTTTACTAGCAGCTAATCTTTTTATTTTATAAAAATACTATATTAAAGAATCAGGATTGGTGCAACTCCATTCAACTGAAATCTGTTAATGAAACAACATTTCCAGTTCAGTCCATTTCCCAGAAATTCCTTGGTTTTGTAGGCTTAATTTTGCTGTTAACCTCAAGGAAAGTTAAACCAGTTCTGATAAATACAATCACTGTGGGTTCCTGGTCCCAGAATACCTTGTGCAGGGTAATAAATAAATAAATGTGTTCAGCAGCGGATGTGTGGTGTTCTGCCTGCTCTGCAGTTCCTGGGGCATTTTAAAATTAGGAAGAAGGAAAGAACCCCGTCATGAAGGAATTTTCAGGCATTTAGAAGCAGGTATATTCTAAGTATGATTTATGTAAAGGTATAGGTGATTCTCTCTTAAACTGCTCCATGTGATGCTCAGGTGTTGTTTAATACTTTCTCTGTTGCTTTATTCACACAGAAAAATTCTTGATTCCTTCCTTTCAGAAAAGCTGGCAGCAGCCCAGTTCTTCTAGGATAAGGCCAGCGGTGAAACACAGCTACAATGTTTGTCTGTTTATTTTTGTGAGCCAAATTATCCCAACTGCCCTCAATCTGGGGTCCTGTGCTTTAACCAGGAGGAGAGCAAGAGATGCAAGTCATAGTTATGGAAATAATTTTGGGTTTATGCTATTAACATTTACACTTTGAGCATTTTTAAGAAGAATCTTTTTGTGCTGAGCAGATGGAAAGGTTTCTAAAACATGAAGGATGGTGCAATGGAATAGGGCTTGAATTTCTAGAATTCCGTCTCTTGAAAATCCCATCCTGAAAACACTGACACGATTTCATGTTTTTTATGTAAAATGCAGGATTTATACTAATGGCTAACTTTCTTACAAGTGCTTCCTTATAAAAGATACTAATAACTTTAAAGGAACAATTAAAATTGTGGGAAGAAGTTCTAGTGAGTGAGGACCACTTGCTTTAATCCTTGAGAAATAATAAGGAAATGAGCTAACACCATTTACCATCAGAGTCCTGTCAGAGCCAAACAAAGGAGGGCTGAGAAAGATGTGATAATGGCTCAGGAAGGGTTGGATCACACTTTCTCTGGCCAACACCAGCAATTATCAGTCAGGTGCTGTTTGTTTTCACTTCAATTAACTGCACTATTACTGAGCTACAAGAACAGCAGACCAAATAGGCAACACGTTTGCTGGCATTTGCCCTGAGAAACCGCCTGTTTCCGTGGCTGTTCTTGTGTAGAAATTAGAATGCTTTTATGATAATACAGCTTTTATTTCCTCCATCCTTCCTTCCCCCCCAGCTTTTACTTTAGCTTAATGAAACTCAGAGCATTTCTTTAGAAGAAAGCTTGTTCCGTAGGAGTGGTTTGGTTGGTTGGGTTTGGGTTTTTTGTCCCTGTGCTTTCCTTCCCAGCTACTCTTCTAATCCATTTTCTCTCTTGTTTTCTCCATGAGATTAAATTCATAATCCTCTCTTTGCAGCATCACCAAATAATAGCATCATGCACACACACAGAGCAGCCCATCTTGCTGAGCTTTTTATTTCTCCAAGAGCATTCATATGGCTTGTGGCTCCTCCTTAGGGGAAAGCAATATGGGCCAAAGTGCAGCAGTCATTCAGTTTGTGTGTGGTACAGATATTTATAAAATATTTTTAAAAACCCCCAAACAAACAAGAGGAAAGCCCCCAGTTTGCATTAAACTTCTCATACCTCAGCTATTGCCAGAAGACACAGGAGGCAAGGCCATTGTTCTCAGAAGAAAAAGTTGAACAATTGAACAATTTCATTGCTTGGCTTCATGATCTTACAAATCCAATACCTGAAGTTTCAGGTAAGGACGTTGGATCCACCTTGAACAGGAAAATGCCTGCTGGGTACTCCAAGGCACAGGGGCTCAGATTGTAGAAGAATTTTGATATTGTTTCAAGCTTGATAGTGGAACAGTGTGATGATCTCCCATTATTGGGGGTTGCTCCACTAG